TTTTTTTTTTTTTTTTTTTTTTTTTAATTCTAACTTTCCGGACATTACACAATCAGTTTTCATTAGGACAAAGTGCTATTTAAAAGCATGGTGGTTAAGGTAAGCCAGGCAGTCTCTGGGTTCAAATCCCAGTTCTGCCACCCACCGGCTGTCAGTCTTGGGCAAGTGATTTAACCTCTCTCCGACTTCCATTTCCTCATCTATAAGTGAGTTATAGCACCTACTGCAAGGGGGCGTCGGGAGGATTAAAGAACATATTCCCTATAAAGCAGTCAGCAAAGCGCCTAGCGCGCACAGAAAGCTCGTAGTAAAGGGGAGCTATTATCATCCAGACCTCGCCAAGGATGACCTCATTTACAACTGGGAAACACAGGCCTCTCTTTCAGCCCTGAGGAGGTGTGGAAAGGGCCCAGGGTTTCTTTATCCCTGGGCTTTGATCCCTCACACTCTCAGAGATCCAGAAAGGGCAGGCCTGGCTTCCCAGACCACATTCCAGGGCCCAGCCAGGTCTTTCTTTGCCGTGAGGCTCTGTCCCCAGCTCACCACCCCACCACTTCCGGCCTCTAAACTGGGGTTCTCCGTGTACTTCCCAATTTACACCGGGGACTACAGTTTTCACGAGGCCTTCCTTTCCCTTCGGATCAACATCCCATGGTCAGTTCAGCACTACTGGTCATAAGCAGTAAAAATAGATTCTGCTTCTTGGCTAAAATGATTCAAGGTTAAAATGGTAATTTCTCGCACATGTGTTGACTCTGCAGATTTTTGGGGGCCTATAACCATTGATCTTTTCTTTCATGTTTCATGCCCACTGAAAGAGAGCATTAAAACCACTCTGACGGGGAAATTAGATATGCCTTCCTGCAGTTGCTACACCACTAGTATTTTACCACAAGGTTCAACCCTGAGTGCAACAGAGAGACCTAGAATTAATGTCTGAATGAATAGCTGGAGGAGGGAAGCATCACTCGAGACACAGGATATGGACTGAAAATTCCTGCAGTTTCAGCATTAGCTAATTTATATTTACTCTCAGTAGATGCTGCTTCCTTGTCAGGCAGCTGGAAGATGGACTGCCCTAAATGTTCGAGGTGGTGAGTCCTCGCTCAGAGCATTTGTATTTGCCTGGGCTGATGGAACTTGGGGTGAACGAGCTAAGCCAATTTGCAGACCCTAACAATGTGTGGAAAGGACTGGATATAATAAGGACTGGGTTAACATGTTTTGTTGGTTGTGAGTGTTAATCAGGAGATCCTGAAGGCTAATCTTTATTGTAATTTTTTTTTTAGCGTTTATTTCTTTTCGAGACAGAGCATGAATGGGTGAGGGGCAGAGAGAGAGGGAGACACAGAATCGGAAGCAGGCTCCAGGCTCCGAGCCATCAGCCCAGAGCCCGACGCGGGGCTCGAACTCACGGACCGTGAGATCGTGACCTGAGCTGAAGTCGGACGCTTAACCGACTGAGCCACCCAGGCACCCCAGAAGGCTAATCTTTAAGCAAGACAAGAGGTAGTGGTTTCAGGCTCCTAATTTGTTACCAGACAACATTAAGTGTGCACGTTTCTTTAGTGCCACCAAACAAGTGGATACTTCTGTGTCTTGAAATCAAACGGAAAAGAAAGATTTCCAACTCGACGATGGGAGCGCCTCAATATTACATCTCCATTTCTCACTCCCTTGCCTGGGATTAGAGACCCCTCTAGATGTGGTGTGATTAGCTTTCCAGCTTTCAAGGACTGTCACAAGCAGGTGGGGAAGGTGTGGGGAAGGACACAGACAAGGAAGGTCCTGCATGGCAGTGAGGACTGGTGAACAATGAATTCTAACTCAGGAACGAATGTGAAAGTAACATGGAGGAGAAGCACAGGCTGGGGGTGGCGGGGAGGAAGGAGCAGGCGGGAGGGGAGCAGTGAGGAAGAGCTCACAGAAGTGGCGCATAGCTGGTGAAGTTGACTGTTCCCTGCAGAAAACTGGGATAGGCAGGGGCTGAGGCAGCAGCAGGAGGCGGTGAATGAGACCGAAGTGCCCAGAAGAGATTGTGCTGGGAAATGGGTCTGGAGGAGTCCTGAGCTGGACCTCAGTGAGGCTGAAATGCCATCCTGTGGAGCAAGGGGAGAGACAGAAAGTTTCAGGAGTCCTGTCATTTTCAGCCTGTGCTTCTGGAAGCTCTCCCAGGGCAGCTCTCCCCTCATCACTGTCTCCTATTTAGCTACCAAGCCCCGTACCTCCTCTCACCTAAGACTTTGGGGAGCCCTAAGCACCTCCACAGTGTCTACTGGGCTCTGCTTAAATTATGCATAAATACGGTGCAATCATCCATCCACTGAGCACGCTGGTGCCATTAGCAGTCACAAGCCAGGGGCCAGGCCCAGTGAAAAGGAGCCCTTCTCTGGGGAGGAAACAAGATCATTAGGAATCGTAATACTTGTAGGATTCTTCCCAAGGTTCTCGGCTCCCCTGCACACCACATCAAGACGCACCTTAGCAATATATCCCAAATGGTTTGCCATAGTCCTGATGGCAGTTTCCTAATTCGTTTCTGCAGTCTTTTTCTTTCTTTCTTTCTTTTGCTGTCAGCAGGCAAAGTTTCACACAAGTGAAACTTCTGTGTGCAAATTAATAATAATAATAAATAGTAATAATGGCAAGTATTCATGGAGTAACACAATGTGCCAACCCCTGTTCTTATTCTATATTCCCCTGAATGCATTACCTCATTTACTCGTCTGAAAACCCCAGCTGGATGATAAGGTTGTTGAGGAAACTACAGCACAGAGAGGTGAGGTAGCACGCCCCTGGGGCTTGCACATGCAACCCATGTTGCATCACTCCCACGTAGTAGATCTCTGACTCATTCAGGAAAACATTTACTGTGAGCTGTTCTTTGTGCTTTTCCTTCCAGAAGTCTCCAAATAACAAAG